CTGGGAGACCGAGGTGGGAGGATTGCCAGAGTTCAGGAGTTCAAGACCAGCCTGAGTAAGAGCAAGACATCTAGACTTCCTCTTTACTAAAAATAGAAAAACTATTGGTCACTGCCTGTAGTCCTAGCTATTTGGGAGGCTGAGTCGGGAGGATTGCTCGAGCCCAGGAATTTGAGGTTGTTGTGAGCTAGGCTGATGCAACAGCACTTTAGCCTGGGCAAGAGAGTGAGACTCTGTCTCAGAAAAAAAAAAAAATTACATGCTGCTTCACATACAGTGAAAAAAAAATCCCTTAAAATTTGATAAAAACAAGCATTGGTGAGGATAGAAAGTGACTGGAATTTTTGTACAATGCTGATGGGAGTGTATTGGCACAATCCCATCGGAAGGCAGGTGGTACAATGTAAAGTTGGAGGCACTTGTTTCACTGTGAATTGTGTACTTTAGAGATACCCATTTGCCAAAATTGCCAATTACAAGAATGTCTATTAAAGCACTGTTTAAATAATGAATGTCAATCCAAACAATAGTGGGTAAATTGTGTCCTATCTGTAAATGGAGTACTCTGTCCCAATAAAAATAAATGAATTGAACTACATTTACTGACATGAATAAATCTTAAAAACATGATCTTGAGCCCAATGATAGCATTTATATAAAATTTAATAACCTGAAATAGAACTCTGCAAGTAATTTTTGAACCATGAATATGTAGCAAAAACAAAAACAAAACAATTATGCTTGGATAAATACCACATCAGGATATGGGTTACCTTGGAAACTATAAGAAAAGAGAATTAGATTAGAGAGAGATGCATGGATTTTCAATTGTACCTAACTTCTTAAATTGGGTAATTCTGTGAGTCTAAGGTGTTTCATTGTTTCAAAAACATTAAAGAGCAATGAAAGGGGGGTGGGCGTGGGACAAACATCAGTAGGTAGGGAGGAGAAGTAGGTGAGTGGTTAAAGGGAAAGTCCCATTTGACTTAGCCTGGGAGGAAAGCCAGGTCAGTATAAGAAATGATGATTAGGCAAAGGGACTCTAGAAGGGACTGGAAATGAAGAGGCAAGACTGAAAGGCATTTGTGGAAACTTAGAGAGAATTTTGAATGAGGAGTCACATTTTCAAAGCAAAGCATGGGACAAAATATTTCACAGCAGCATTTTGGAGTAACTTTTGGTGGAAAAAGGGGATAGATTGCAGAGTAGAGGTTAGCAAGGCTCCATTATTTTGTGAGTGCCTTTGGGGAGGTACTGGAAGCTAACTTGCCAAATTTTCAGATTCCACAAAGATTGACCCTAATAAGTAACATCCTAGACAGAATCATGATGTTTAAGGGGTATGAATATGCTGGATATTAAGGCGTAAAGACAAGGCTATGTATGCAGTGGTTTAAAATGTGTCACAACACACTTCACATTTTTAAAATTATCTAGTTACAAGTTGTGATTCAACACAAGGAACTTAGCAGTGCCATAGGGCAAATGTGGATGACTGTGTAATGTTACTATTGAAAAGAAAGTTTAGAAACAGTATCTGACTAGTATCTATAATTGCTCTAGCAATTGGTCCCAGTACTGGACAATGACAAATTACAATGAATTCAGAGGAGGGTGACCAGGACACCAGGAGTGCTTCAGAGTGATAATGCGGCATTCTCAAACAAGGTCAAAACTAGGCTGCCCTTGGAGGATTCAATGAATAAAATCCACTTGGATGGGTGAGATTAGCCAGCTACAGGCCTAAACTGCGGCCCTGTGTGCTCACGAGTGACTCTGCGGGTGAGCAAGAGGTAATTTCAGGGAGGATGTGCCGGAATGTGGTTGTAATAGTGGAGGGGACACCTAATCAATAACCATATTTCTTATCTAGAGAAAGACTGGGTAAATACACTTGGGGAGAACAGCATGAAACACAGAGGAATTCTGATCCATGCAGGTTATAATTTTCATTATCAATCCATAGTGAAGCACTACTGCCTGTATTTCCAAGTGCTGCATTTCTATCGCATGAGGTGGGGAGCATTTCTCAGGGTCCTGGCAGAACTGAGTTTTCCACACCTGGAAATGGAAGGTCACCACGTGAGGTGGTGTAACCTTTCCCTGACACAGGCCTCTCCTTTGTTGTGGAAAAACCCAAGGACACTAAGGATGTTTAGCTGGTAAGGGACAACCCAGAGGTGAAGTGTGGTGTTTATCTTCAAAGTTTAAAAGTTTTTCTTATAGGATCCAAGGTCAGACTCTTAATTGTTGGGGGCAAAGAACAAGAGCAATGGGCAGAAAGTACAAAGAGTAGGATCCCACCTGTTTAAAAGGAGGAACGTATCAACCACTTAAACTTTCAACAGCGGGGCAGCTATCCTTTGATTCTTTGATCAGAAAAAACAGGAAAAGTCTGGATAACTATGGCCCAAAAAATAATAATAAAAAGATATGGGGTGGCCCACAAATTTGATAGAAAAGCTGAAGTACCTGGTTGTAGAAGGGGCAGTGAGCAAGGCAGCTACCGTGATAGAGGGGCAGGAAAAACAGTAACTGTTTCTCTGGGGCACCATCATCAGGATAAACCACCTCTGCTGATTTCTTTCTTAGAATTACTGGGAGAAAGAAATCGTATTGGCCAAGTGTGTGTCAGGAGTCCTCCTCCTTTCTTCCTCTTCCCCTGGCAGGTCTTGTCAAGCCTTCATGAAATGGGATAAAGCATTTGCTAAAGGAAAATTGAGGAGCTGGAGAAAATATTAGAAACCTAATATATCTGCATCATTGCAAGTGCAAAAGAAGAGGGTACCTCCCTGTCAGCAGTCTGAGGGGGTGATTTCTGTCCTAGTAGAATTTGGAAAAGGCGATTTAAAAGGCCTCTTCCTGTTTTAAGGAGGAATTGAGACGTGGCATTGATTACTGAGATCCAAGAATAAGGTGACGAGATTTTAACATTGGTAAAGCGGGATACCATGGGAGGGGGGGTGCAGGGCCTGACAACAATGCAAACTTTGATAAGCAGTTCTCGATAATCAGTTCTCAACAATTATTTATTATTAAAGTTTAACATTATAAAATTAACAAAAATAATATAAAACTCATATCCTGGTGAAATAGCCACAAGGCAGCCAAAAACCGTATATTCCCTTACTGTTCTCCTGCGTTCCCTAGCTTGTTGTTCATTCTTTCCAAAAATCAGGACTTTTTTAAAACGCCATGGGACGTGGAACAAATTGTTAAAAATTTGGACAGTCTGGTCACCTTGTCCAAGAATGAAGAGCTGGGCCAGGATCTGAGAGAAGCCTGGGGCACAGTGAACAGGAAAGTAAGCCGTAGGGTGGGCGTGGTGGCTCAGCGTACTAATCAGAAAAGGAAGCTAAGGAGCTGCTGGTGTTGGTCACTCAAACTCAGTGTATCTAAGTTAGAAGGCACCGTCTGTCTTCTACTCCATGCCACGATTGCAGATAGAGAAATGGAAGAAGCAAGATGGGATAGAAGTTAGCAGAAGCCACATGAACTCCCACTGTCTAGACTTACTGGCCAAGTGGGAAGCTGATTGGAGGATGTACGGGGGAATGATGCTCCCAATGACAGTGAACCTGCCAGCCTGAATAGCTAACCAGAGCCAACGTGTGACAGAACTCAACCAGTTCTAGACTCTGAATATGACTGGCAGCTGTGAGGCAAAACAATTAGTGAAGAAAACAAAAGAAATCACTGGCCACTAGTGCCCTCTGGTGGTTTTAGAGAACTTAATTTTTATTTTTTTCTATTAGATGAAAATCAGTGGCATTTTCAGCCAATGTATTTGCAAAAGAGTGTGAAGGAAGGGGCTGCGGAGAACAGCACAAAAACCCTACCCAGAAAGTGGAAATGCACCAGAAAAATTTGGGTTTTGTGTCTACGTTGATTAATATTCTGGAAAAAATGTAGACACGTAAATCTGTTCTGGAAGATTACCTGCGAAAAGAAGAGTGTTTGGGCAATGACTTCATTGGTCACAGGGGGTATTTGGCATGTGGACAGCCGCCACCAAAATCACATACAAACAGTTTTGAAGAGGAGGCTGCACTGGTTGCCAGGATGCCTTTTAAACACGGCTTCTCTGTAACTGAGAAGAGAGCTGTTATCTCAGAAATATGTACGCATTTGCCAATTCAGTATTTTATGGCTTGGGTCCCACCAATTTCTTCTTCCTGGCTGGTGTCTGTGCCAAGTGTTGGCAAATGCTGTAAGAAGATGCCTGGTGGCCAAGGGCTTTGAAGTGGGACCGATCTCAGGGAGGGGCTAAGTAGAGCCAGGAAGGTCAACATCAAACCGTGCTGGGCACTCCGCATCCAGGCCCTTTGGGACCTGCCTTCAGAGTACATAATCTTGGCGTTGAGGAGAAGCAAGGAACAGGAGGACTGATGGAGGTTTTAAATCGGTCTGATTATACTGGGGACTAATAATGGGTGAATGCAATTAAATGAGGGGGAGGATAGAAAAAGGAGCAAAGAAAAGATAAAAAATAGAGGCAATACAGAAGGAAATAGAATCAGCGTTATCAAGCCCTGGGCAACTGTCACTTCTGGCAGCAGAGCGATCTCCTCGTCCTTGTCTCACATTACCTGTGTGGCAGGAGGTGTCAGCCTGCCGTCTTTCATTATTCAGCCTCCACCACACACCCTGCTCTGTTTACAGATGCTCCTGTGCAGCTTGGCAGGTCTGTTTCCCTGAATTCGCTCTCTTTCCCCTTCATGTCATTTCAAGGATGTAAAAACAATCCCTCATAATATTTTTGTGAGAATTCCCTTCTGGCCTGCAATTTCCAGAGCTCTGGTCTCTGTGAGTGAGCACGAGAAGCCTAACTGCCCCCTGAGCCCACAACTTCTTAGACACCAAAATAAGCCACAGAGTAGAGAGAGACCATGTGAGTGGCCCTTCCTCTGTGCCCTGAGAGGGTCCCTTCTCTGGAATATACATGTATACCTCTAAGATAAGTCACTTCAGGGATCTACTCTATAAACCAGTTTACTTACCGAAGATGAGCTAATTATTTTAATTTGCTCCAAAGCTTCTGTTAGGCTGTCTTCAATCTCAGAGTCATCTAAGGAGAAAAGGTCCCCAGCTCGTGAAAGATCTTTTTGTCCCAAAACAAGTCGGAACAGTTGATGCATGATGTGGAGGGTTAGGTGGGTTGACTTTCTACAGATCCAGGCCCATGGGTTTTAGTTATCAGAGGTCAGCAGGGCACAAACATTCAGCAGGAGGCACACTGTGTATTCCATGAAAGGTCATTTTTTCTCCAGACTTTGAGGTCTCCACTGACACCCTCTGCAAGGGAAACAAATGACATAATATGACCGTTGGCAGGAGGGCATGAGCTCAGAATGTGAACTTGGTCTCCAGCAGAGAGAGAACAACAACAAAAAGACACTTGGAAACGTGTTCGCAGAGTAACAGACCCTGACTTGATGAACTTCAAATGAGCTCTTTCCTTATTTTTGCCTCAAAGCTCCTGTCAAAAATCACTAGGTTTCTTCAGAATTTCATTTGACCCTTGAAAAGCTGCAGGAGCCCCGCGCTTGTTTTTCTCCTGCTTTCTGTCTTCTTTCTGCATCTTCTTCACGCCATGAGGAAACACACGGAAAAGGAGCACACACGTCCCATGCTTGCCTGATTCCCTCCAGACTCTCGTGGAAATCACGTAGAAAGGGAGAATGAAAGGGAAGAGAGAAGATAGGAAACATCTTTTAGAGCCACTGCTTGGGGCTTTCCCAGAACTTTTCTTTCTTTCTAGAACCTGGACATGGACATGGGTGGACTGCTTTGCTATGATGGCAATAGAATCCACTCCCACCTCTACCACCTATCAAGTCCAGAAAGTGATCTTGATACTCACACTATTTCTTTTTACTGTCATGAAGTAGCAATGAAATAAAGGATGCTGGCTAGAAATATGGAATTAGATAAATCTCTGCTGAACACGGACATGAACTTGAACTCAAACACTGAAATTGAATGTGATCACTTTGATGTGTAGGCTTAGGAAGAGAGCTTTGAGATCAGGAAATCCTCCCTCTATTTCCACAATTGAAATAATAAAGTTCCACTGTATTCCTTATCCAATTAACAGTCCGCTGAGAATAGGGTGATGGCACAAATTAGATATCTGGTTATTCTCATCAGCTCCCTTCTGGGCCTAATAAAATCACAGACCATTTGCACTGGGAGAGACCTCTATATTCATTTAATGGCCAGGGAGGTTTAATCACTTCCCCAAGGCCCCAAAGTAGCTGTGGCAGGAGGCTCATCTGATTTCAGGCCAGTGGGCTTTCCTAAGAATTTACAGTGGAGTGAAAATTACCTTATTGATGGAAGTAACTTAAAAATGCAGCTGTGTGCTCATATAGTGAGAGTCAAGAGTTAGTTGTTTATATAAGCAATAGGCAATTCTGCCTGGCATTTCAGTCTGACTGTGCTCACCAGCATGTGTGTGGACAGAGGAAGGAGAGCCTGGTGTTCCCTTGAGCAGGTTCAGGCCTCTGTTCTGAGCTATCGCTGTGCTGAATGCAATCTTATTTTATTTTTTATGATTGGGCACATAATTTTCAAATTTAAGGGTGCACACCCGCTATGCAACATAGTCTCTAAACAAAAGCCAAACTTTTCATCAGAGACTCAACCAAATACTTATCTGCAGTATTCCAAATGTGGAGTCCGAGGGGTCGTTTTAGAGCTTTCAAGAGCAGTGTTGCCCGTACGCAGTTTTTGTACCATCTACAAGCTTTTGTAAAAAGATGGCTAACATTTACATACCCGTATCCATGTGCCAGGGGTAAATATTTTGCAAATATTAACTCATTTAATCTTTGGAATAACTGTATGAAAATACATCACCCACATTTTATCAGTGAGGATCCTGAGGCCATTTAAACAACTTGCAAAAGCCACACGGCTAGGAAGCTGCTTTGAACACAGTGTCAGGCTCTAAGTTCATAACCACTTTCCACACTGACTCCATGTAAAATTCGAGGCAAGTCCTCAGGGCATCACTAACAGGGAGGAAGGTGGAGTTGGGTCATGAGGTGAGGAAATGAATTCCTTGTGTCCGACCCTGCATCCTCAGCCATCTATGCCCTGGGATTCAGGCCACACTGAGAGCAGGGGAGTCACAGGACATGGAACTCAGAGGAGGAGGAAAGCAGGGTGGCAAGCTCAGTGTGCAGAGCAAGGGGCCCATGAAGTAGCTCACCCCTGGACAACCGCGGAAGGATGAATTACAACATCTACCAAAAAAACGATGGCAGCGTTTTCCTGAATTTTCTCTAAACACATACATCCCTCAGTATCAGATATTTGCAGTGACAGAATCTCAGTGAAATAGTATTAAGGAAAATTGCAGGAAATGACATCACGTTGACCAGCCAGCTCGTTGGACGATGCCTGGCACTTCATGAAACATGTTCAGCTGCCTCAGACTGATCAGGCAGAGATATGTGCTGGTGGAGAGAGGCCGCACCCCTGGCTTCCCCTGGGCCCCCTTTCCACCCTGCACACTCACAGGAAACTTGGTGTGCGGCCCCACATTCGTGCTTCCAACTCAGCAGTTACTCTCGGAGGGCCCGTCACACGCAAGACGTTTCTTAGGGCCCTTAGCAGAAACATCAAGTTGTTCAACTCACAGTGTACAAGAGATCTCAGGGTGGCACAGGGAGAGAGGAGACTTGCACCGGACTTCTACAATATGTCAACAACCAAGAGAAAAGTACTCTGGGCTCTATAAAAAGAAAGGTGGGGAAGTAAAAGGGGAGAGAGGTCACTCCCAGGAGAAGACGATGGGGGATGGCTTGCCGAGGAAATGGCATTTGAGCAGCACCTTTAAGTTTGGGCAAGATTTTCACAGGTTTTGTCACCTGTTGGTGTCATGATTTTCACAGGGCTCTTTTATGCATTATCAACTCTGGTATTTGGAATACCCCAGGGGGATCTACTGAGTGTGCATTAGCCCTCTTGGCAGATCAAGACAACCAACGCTCAGGGAAGGGAAAGGCACGAACTCAAGGGCTCACAACTGCCCAGTGGCTGAGCTGGACTTGAGTCTCAGTCCCCAGAGAAGCAGCTGGGGCAGTGAACAGCATTTGCCAAGTGTCAGACACTTCTCTGAGGGCTTCCCAAGTATCCAGTCACTTAGTTCTTATGACAATTCCATGTGATAAAACACCTGATGTTCAGAAAGTAACCACCAGCCCCAAGGCATTGCAGGGTAAATTGCAGAGTTAGGATTGATGGCAGCTGGTCTCCCAGGACAACGTGCACTCAGGGCTTTGCATAATCACGTACATGGCTGTGTGTGATAATTATTAGTGAGCTACCTCCCTTCCCACCAGCTCAGTGATTTTCCCCACGTGCTGTATGTCCAGATTGGCAAGTCACGTTACTTATCAGCAGCTCTCATCAATGTTTTGTTCAGGTTATTCTGTTTCCCCCACTGGTTTGCAATAGCAGGGAAGGTCAGAGCCAGATCAAATTCTATCTCATGTTCTGAGACATTCCCTACCCGTGAATGTCATAACCCTATGGCCTAAACATCGTACATTCCATACACACACTCAAATACTCGGCAGATATTTTTACTGAAAGGGAGACAGGGCCAGGGAGGATGAGTATCATGCCTGAGCTTACACAAACAGCCAAGCTTCACATCCAGGTGGGTCAGACTTCAAACTCATACTTTTGCTATTACAGGAAAACTGACTTGTAAAATTCTTTCTTACTCCCCACCTTTCATTTCTGTCCTTTATAATTTCTTCCC